CCCTCGACCCGAAACGTCAGCTTTCCTGCTCCTCTGATGCTGCTTGGCCTGCTGTGTTCATCCAGCTCTACACCTTGTTATCTCAGATTCTCCAGCATCGGCAGTTCCTACTATCTCTCTACGAAATGGATTTACCTCTTTCAGTAACTCCTCTGTTCATAAAATATTGTGATAACACCCAAAGGCAAAGGTTACAGAAGTTGATGGTAATCTTGACTAAATCCACATGCTGGTTCTGTTGCCCTTGGAGATAATTTATCAAGACATGAATACTGTTTCTGAAAAGAAGTTCAGCTAACATTGGCTTGAGAGCTGTGGCCAATATACCATTTTATGTTGGGACATAATATATGCTAACAGATATGAGCTCGGCGTTAATCGTTACATAAGAAGGTTAGAACATTTTCACATTTAAAATAACGTCCACCATCTCAGAAGCAAAGTTTATCAATTCTGGCATGTATATTAGGCAATATTTATTTGTAACCCCAACAAATTTCATGAACTCCCTTGTGCTGAAAAACCAAAACACATAATCATTTAACTTTCTCAAAGGAAGAGAACACACTTAAACTGAAAAATACAAGCTGTGGAAAATGTTAGAGAGTCCATAAAGCCCAGAAAAGCCAGCAAAATTACTTAACTGCTGTTCTGATGCTCTCTCTTTATGTTAGTGTCTGCAATTATTAAGTTTGAGGGTGGACGCATCCAATTAATAGTCAACTGCTTGAATATCATGACATATGCTGAATTGCTGATGCCTCATGCCTTATGTCAGTTTTTTATAGAGCAAAAACAGAAATTGCTGGAAATACTCAGCAGCCCTGGCAACATCTGTGGACAGAAAGCAGAATTAAGATTTTGGGTCCAGTGTCCTTTCTTCTAAATTTTGGCTAAACTCCCAGTTCTGCAAACTCAGTAACAGAATCCCTACAGTGTGGAAACAGGCCCTTTAGCTCAACAAGTTCACGCCAACCCTTAGAGCAGCCCATCGGCAATTTAGCATGGCCAATCCAGCTATTAATTTTTTGGACTGTGGGAGGAAACCGGAGCACCTGGAGGAAACCCACGCAGACATGGGGAGAACGTGCAAACTCCACACAGACAGTTGCCCGAGGGCGGAATCAAACCCAGGTCCCTGGCACTGTGAGGCAGCAGTGCTAACCACTGAGCCACCGTGCCACCCATAATCTTTGAAATTTTCTGTGCTTAAATGAGAAGTCAAAAAGCCAATGAACAAGCATATTGCAACTGCTTATTTCTCACCTTTGCTTAGTTTGTCTCTTTAAAAAGCTTCATGATTTTCTTCTTGCCTCCTCCATTAAGCCCCTCCCAGCCACTTCTTAAAAGAGGTGGACATGCAATCAACACCTGAACAGTTGCCTATGACTCTCTTGAGGCAGCCTTCATGAGATCTGTAAGTCCTTCTCAGAAAGTGATTCACCTGCTGTATCATCTTTTCTCCCTTCCATCTCAATCCGATTTGACTTCACTGAAAGAATTTGTGGGAAGAAAACTTTGGACTGGCCTGATGACTCTGTGGTGAATAAAGTCTTCTAAAACTCAATGCTAAATTTATTGAGATTGGGCTGACTACCTATATTTTGGATTATGCATTGTAGAAAGACAAACTTTTTTTCCTTATTTGCATACCATATGTTAGAAATTCATCAAGAATACATAAAATCAATATTCTTTTGGATCGTTCAATTTCCTTTTCACAAGGAAATTCTCATGGCTGCTCTTCCAGTTATTCCCTCATGCATTTGAGCAATAAGTTGCTATTCCATCACGAAGGATATCACAGCTGAGGCAAGTCATTGTCTCTTCACTGTTCAATATTCTAGAAACTTGCACAGCTGTTAAAGACAGTATCAGGGGTCCTCCCCCTCCTCCACTCTCTCTCTTGCTTTCTCCCCACTCCCATTTATCTTGTTTGATTGGTTTCTAATTTGGCAAAAACGTTTTCAAAAATGGTAGATTTTCAGTCTTCCTACAAATAATTAACAATCACCATTAATGTGCTCACTTTCCTCTCTGCAGGGTAGGTTTTCTCTCTTCTAAATATCTCATTGAGCTTTGAAGGCTTAAAAAAAAACTTAGTTGCAATTCAAACTTTGCAGGCCTATTGCTTTCCCATTTGTTTTCATGTTATTTGCATATGAGATTTTTTTTTAAACTTCCCAATCTCTCAGACTATATTTCCCCAGCAGTACTCACCACTAATTGACCAAGGAATATTTTTAATATTGCGCAACTAACTGAGATGATTTCAACCACCATGTCACTCCGTCTCAGCATATAGCCAAAATTAGGAAGTCGACTGACAAGGAATTAGAACAATGAATCATGGTGCTGTGAACCTCTCCATTTCAACACCATGTGGTGCCAACTAGAACAAGCCACTGGCATTTGGCTGAGTCAGAATGAGTAACACTTGAATGTGTAATTTACCATGTTTCTTACAAGAAGAGTTAAGGGCAGTGGGAAAACTTACAACAAAGACCCATTATAATTTCATTGGAGCACCTTAAACTAAAAACATCAGTAACATCAAAGTGAGCAATTACTCTTCTCCATTCCATGTATGCCAGGCATTAGTCTATGTCAAAAATACCAATGATATTGTACATTCAGCGAAAAGCCTTTGCTGAAATGAGATGTTACTAAATCCCATTCTGGTTTTACAATTTCCACATTTAGGTAAATATCCTAGATTTGGCTAGGGTTGGCTTTTTTTGTTGAGGATGTCACACTATTGCAAGCAATTAAGCCTGTGACACTGTTGCATCAATCAAAAAAAAGTTAAGTTTAAAGCAAAATTGGAATTGTACCATAAAATTTTAAAAAATGTATAAATATATATTAAAAGTGTATATTATTTTTAAAAAAAATCAATTCCTCCGACATTCCAGTTACAAGAAGTCAACATCACTATTAGTTCTCAATATGGATAAAATGAAAATTATAATTTCAGAGAAGTAGATTTTTCTTGAAAATCTGCTTTGAAATAGGTTTGAGAGTTATAGGATTATAATGAGCAGAGATGATGGAATTGTGTGTGTTTCTTGAGCCCGTTCAGACTAAGTTCATGTCAACTCAGCTCATAATCAACTATTAGGGTAAACATAAAGATCTTGGGAGAAACAAATATCTGAAATTTTAGTTGATAAGTAAGAGAAGTTTACAGAATATTTTTTGAAACTGGTAGGGTGTCTAAGAGAGAGGAATTTTCTGGTCTACGAAAGCAATAAATATGGAAGACCGTGCATTTTTTTGTGTTTGATATTTTAAGCTCTCACCTTGTTTGAAATATTCCATGTTGCGAAACTCCACCAGCGTATTGCCATAATAGTAGTTGGTGATGTAGATTTTAACACCCTTTGCTAATGGATCTTTCATCCAAGCACCTTCTTTTCTCCCATAAATGTGTTTTGTCTTGGGTCCAGAAATTGTTGATAAAGTTTCCTTGCACTCTCCTGTAATAACAAAACAGCTTTCAGCTTTGCTGTCCATCACACAGTAGCATCTCTTTCCAAAAATATCAAACGTTAATAGGTACAACCATTTGAAATGTTCAGACCCCCACCTATCATATTGAGAGCATGAATCATTGGATCAGTCACATCAGAGAGCTTCACCCAGAGTGTAACACAAATGTAAGGTATTCTACCCTTGTTCTCTTTGCTTCAATTAAATATCACCTTTCACTAGACTAGTATAAGAGAGACAGTTACAGCTGTACTGAAAGTGTTCACAATTAGGCTCACTGCAGGAATAGCAGAAATTTGCATCCTTAAGATGGTTTTGTTACAATTAATCCCTTCCAACCACGAGATGCTGTATTAATGCTGAAGTTAGTGTTTAGGAACGTGCCTGAGAACAGTTGTTCAGGACTGAAAATAAATGACTTGCAATATGAATGGGTCTGTACGTGACCAAGTTTTCCTATGCCTTGATTAGGATTCAACAATGGGAATGTGTTGATATTATGTATTTTTTAAACTGTGGCAAGGATTTAATAAGCTTTTCCTGTGAGTCTGGCCTATGGATGAAACTTGAAACAAGCTCAGTCAGTGGCCCTCCTGCCAAGATTTTGCTCTGACTGCAAATTACTTCAGAATGTCTTGCTGTGCCTGAGCAGTTAAATCCCACAATGCCAATTCACTAAAAGCAGTATTAAATAGTTCTGTAAACGGCATCTGCCTCAGTACTGAATTTGAAGTAACAATCTCTTTCAGGAGTTCAGTGGATAAATACACTGCTTCATGTGTTTACATTACGTATAGAAGATTACTTTAGCTATATAACATGTAAACTGGCCTTTTCACTCAACTATCAATCCATCTAGTATGATGCCAAACCAGAGAGGCCAGGAGGTGGCCATGATCAACCCTTCTACTGAAGTATTAATCTTTCCATGTCAAGAAAAGCTCAATTTTAACCACTCGTGGTCGCTCACTCACCATAACCAGAGCTAACATTCCTATTTGGTATCCAATAATCCTTTACTAAAAGGTATTATGTATTTGTGGATGTTAGTTAAGGAAAATGCCAACTTGGCGCTCTCACTTTCCCACCTTTGAATAAGGATATGGAATAGGATAAGGAATAGGCCATTTGGGACTGAAATGAGAAGAAATTTTTTCATCCAAAGAGTGGTGAACCTATGGATTTCCCTGCTACAGAAAGTAGTTGAGGTCAATACGTTGAAGTAGTTGAGAACATTGCTGATACCCTGACTATAATCTTCAAAGTTCATTCAATTCAGGACCCATTCCTTGAGATTGAAACTTGTACATACATTCCACTGCTTAAGTAAATGAAATGGGAAAAACTAGGAATGTATAGACTAGTGAGCCAAACATCTG